ACACCACTGTCAATTGGTTGGCCACTAAGCTCCATTGGTTTCAGCTGAACGCAGAATTGGGGTCTGTAATTTTTTTGCATTTAGAAACAGTAGAGGCTGCAACCATCATGCCAAGGAGGCCCTTTTATCAGACCAGTGTGAGTTCTCGGGGCATTCGATTTACGTGGGATCCGAAGGGCAGGGACGACATGCTCGGCGCCGAGATTGCAGTTGACGCAGTGTCAGTTCCTAATTCTCCCTCTTCATTGTCAGCATCTGCACCGATCAGTGAAGGAAAGGTTGTTCTCCATGGACTGACGCCCAGCACAGCTTACACAGTAAATGTAAACGTGATTCGTAACAAAGAGCAAATTTGGACTCTTAAGGAAACTGTGAAAACACTGAGGAGAGGTGAGTTGATTCGCGTGACTTGGATTCAGACACCCACAACCTGGAACATAATTACTCACTCCACTACCTTTGTGCACTTAGTGCTTATCGGGTCTCAGTTTGCTTGACGGTTGTGAAAGATGTGCATATTTCGCATGATCGCATTACATGCCACAAACGTGCGGAAAGCTAACACATTGAAAATGGTGAAGTGCATGGAAATGTGTAGCAATATTGGGCAGTGTGGATGTCCTTTACCATCTCCCTCGCCTATACAGTCGAGGTGGTTGGCTAGAGCTTTAAAAATAACATTTCAGCACTCTGTCAAGGAAGTTGGCTTCGGGGAATCCTTCCGTTTCGCACTCACGAATCGCAGACTCCTCAGGAGCTTGAGCTTCCTAACCACCCAGATTAACTTTAGCCTTCCCTGATAACAAACTGTTTCCGTGCCTTCCACAATGCCATGGCTTGCGCTCCCAAAGAAGACACTCAAGTGACAGGATGAATTGCTTACCTGCAAACGACGCTAGTAGAAGGCTGCATTCGCAGACAAAGACGACACCTTTTCACCTCATGTTCTACTCTTGCTGCTGCTGTAGTCCTGCCTTCCACTCTCGAGGTGGTGTTCAATC